CCCAGCTCTCACATTTGCATGTCTAGTTTATCCTGTACCGTTGCACAGAGCTTTAATAGGTGCTCTGCTACCTGGAGTAACTGTATCCTATTGTTGTATTTATTTATTGTATATTTGTTGTATGTAGGGCAGATCATCACCGCGGACATGGCAGATGATGATGACAAGTACAGACAGTGTAGTGACGCTCTAAGTTCAGGCAAATACTCTTATGCATAAGTTTGGTTCTTGTACAAATGATGTTAAGTTGTTATTGTTTATATCATATTGTTCACTGTTGTACACAGCTCACCTCTGGATTAATTATAAAAAAAACGGTTTGCAAAGACTCTAGGAGCTTTACGGTGCTTTTGAGGAGTCACGATGGACGAGTGCGACTGAAATGTTTGTTACTGCACGAGTGAAACACTTTGCAAGCTGCACTAAGACTTTTTAATGTACAGTTTTATCTGCAGACTGAACAGATCGGACAATAAAATAATAATGTCACTCACAAATATGAGATTCAGTGCAATAAGATATTCGTCCAGTTTGTGGAGACACTGGTGTTGTTGTCTTTTAAAAACATAAATATTGATTGTTTTGTATTGTCACTGTCCTCGTCTGTTTTTAAACTAGACCATGAGTCTGGAATAAAGATGATGATGATGATGATGATGATATGTACTGTGTGTGTGTTTGTTTTTTTGTTTGTTTGTTTGTTTTTCCATAAGGGGAAACTTGACTGCTTCAACTCTGCTTTAAACCTGTAGGCAGAAGTCACATGTGTCAGCTGGGAGCACATCTGGTACATGTGACTCACTGCATCATTCTACAGCAACATAGAACTTTGAACTTTTAAATTGTCTGAAAAAAGTCATCTCTAAAGCCTAATGGCTAAATACAATAAGAACAGGCTGTCAGACTGTGAGTGAGAGCAGCACATGACCTTACTTACCTATGACGGTGATATGGCTGGGCTCAGACTGCTCTCTCTCCATCTCACACCAGTACCGACCACCATCTGACATCTGCACATGCGGCAGTGTCATTCGAGCTGTAGGTGTCCTCTTCAGTAGTTGTCCGTCTTTGTAGAATAGTGCTGACATCGTGGAGGAAGTCTTGTGTTGACATAATAAAGTCATATTTTGTCCCTCTGTCACTGGGAGCACAGGGCTCTGGAGAAGAAACTTGTTTATCTGTAACACAGAGCATGGAGTATGGTGTATGGTGAAAGGCTGAGGTAAGTCCTCATGATCTGTGTTTAGTCCTGACAGCACAGTGCAGGGTATGCAACAATAAAGGAACAATAGGCAATCTTCAGATAACGAGTTCTACTATTCTGGTAGTGTGCCTGTGCATCATCTCTTCACACTAATAAAGCTCCAGACTGTTCTCACCAGTGACAGTGATGTGGACAGTGTCCCGAGCTCTGTCCCTCGGGGTTCTCACACCAGTACACTCCTGTGTCCACTCGGGGCCGTACGTCATAGATGGTGCAGGTAGGAGGGTTCCACGTGGCCCAGTTCTCACAGTGGGTCCGGGCTGATTTGGAAGTGTTTCTCTTCACCTTCCAGTCGTTATCTTTACAGCTGATCTCCACAGTGTCCTTTTGAAAAAACTGGGAGCGTCCTGGCCTCACAACAAGAAGATCTGCAAGTGTGAATAATGAGCTTAATTTGTCTAATAAAATAACAGGATGAATATTGGTCTCTCTGACGCAGCTGTGAGAGACAGGGCATGTGTGTATCAGTGTGAGTGTGTGAGTGTGTGTGAGTGTGTATCAGTGTGAGTGTGTGTGTGAGTGACTTTTTTTTTCTTATCTGACCCTACACATAAACTAAAAGTGCCACAAATTTAACACTAAGTTGTAGGTCCCTGGAACACATTTAAAAATCTATTATACCCATATATCCTATTATACCTTGGCTTCACTTTTCTGGGAATTATCTCAATTTAATAGGCCATTTACACTATATACATGTATATATATATATATATAACTACAATATTATATCCTTTAAAATAATTATATACACAGAATCCAGTTAAACCCACCTTGATCTGTGATGTAGAACAGCAGAGTGGTCAGTACTGCAGACAGAAACCAAAACGTCTGTGAATTTGACATTTAACACACTTGTACATGTTACAATACAAACATAAAATAGTTATTTGTTACTTGTGTTATTTTACATTTTTGCTCACAATTTTTTGTGTGTGTGTGAACCTAAATATAGAATAAATAAAATAATAATTCACAGAACTCACAGAACAGTGACACCGCTCCCATGGCCCTTCAGTTCTCAGCGTTCTATCCAACTCAGTAATGGGTCCTTGATTCAAATATGAGCATTTTATAGATACAGAAAAGCATAATAATAATAAAGTGAGGCGTGCAGAGGTTTGAAGGCAGCACTTCCTGTCATGCCAGGTGGAGGCTTTTGTGGTGGACTTTTTTACCAAGTGATCATTGACTCATGTCAAAACCACACCACAGCAGCATGATGCCCTCTTCCTCTTCATTTCTCTGCAGTTTCACACTCCAGACAAAGCTTTTGATAACTGTAAGGGGCCAGTTAGGGTGACCAAACGTCCCGAAATAGTTGTTGTCCCAAATCACGAATCCGGCCCTAAATGTCCAGAAAATTACACTCAGACAGAATACTGAATAGTTCTTTTCTGATGAACATGAAAAACTGTTGGTAAAAGAGGTTGAGTCGACTGCATGCAGCCCTGACTGCTGCTGATAGGCTGCACACAGACTCTGACGGCTTCTAAGTGGCTGCAAGTAGCTCAGCTACAATCTATCTGTTTTGTTTATTTTTTACAGTGAGGCATGAATATGCACTGACGATAAACTAATTCATTCATTCCACATGGCTTATGTACCAGAACCCCAACACGCCGATATGCAAAAGTGTCAGTGCAGGTAACTGGAGGAGTGGGTGGAAGTACCCATGGATTGCCAAAGCCCTAAGTGATGAAATGTAAAGTATGTAGAAAAGAGTGTGGTGTTTCTCACGGAGGGGAGGCAGATGTTAGACTACATGCTTACACTGTTGGTCTGTACTGTACTGCTGGAAAGACTTGATCTTTGATTTAAAAAATGTTTGTGACCTTCACAAATTTCAGCCAATCTCATCTGGTCACCCTAGACCAGACCTGGGCATTGTGCAGCTCCTGGGCCACATACTGTGCTTTGGTCGACTCTGACCGACCCGTTTAATCTAATTTGAAATGACAAAATAAACATATTTTTATCATTTTACCTGATGCAAGGACTAAAGCTGCATTTTATTTTAGAGGTGTTTTGTTCATTTCATTTTTTGTAAAACAGTCTCACTTTTTCATTGTTTAGTCAAAACATAAACTCTTACCAGTCTGACCAGCTCTTCAAAACAATGTTATTTACTGCTTTTTATAAAGAAATACAATGAATATTATGCAGAAGTTCTTCATTTTGTCCCTCCACAATATTTTCTGTTTCTCATGTGGTCCCATGGAAAAAATAACTGTCCACACTTTGGCTGGAACCCACTGCAAGTCTTTTCCTTTAATAAATGAAAAGCTCTCATGTGAATATCTATGGTTGCTCGGTGACGTCCCCCACCACACCACTGTTCGCAGTGGCCTGTGTCGGCCACGCCCCCCGTGCACCTCGTCTCCCTGTACACGCTGCTCTGCCTGCTGTCCTCTAGCACATTGCTTCTGTCCCAGAGTAACAGTTTCTTTTGGAAAAATAAATCAGTTTAATGGCTAATTATAGCCAGTATCATTTCTTGTTTTAACAAAATATATAACAATATTATTCAATGGAAACATTCTCAGAGGTTTCAAAAGTACAACAAAGACGATTTTACATTCAAATACCATGAGTTCATTTAAAGACTAAAAACTCCAAACGTGCCATTCATTGCCACTAATTCACCACTGCCAGCATGGAGTCTCTGTCAGATTCAGTCACATGGGTGCAGGAGCTCCATGCCTTTACTTTGTGCTCTCCCCCACCTGACCTCCCCCCCCAACATCACACACCAGGAATCACACACCGTGCTGCAACAGCATCACCACAGTCACAGTTTTTAGACACAGAGAATGGCTCAAGTGAGAATCCTCCCATGTCTGTCTCCTCCTACCTCAAAGAAAAGCTCTCGATTTACTGCTCAATCTACATCCCTGCTCTCACCTATGGTCCTGGTTTAGTCTTGGTTTAGTTCAGTCCTGGTTTAATCCTGGGTTCGATCTCTGGTTGTACTCTCACCTCTGGTCATGAGCTTTGGGCAATGACCTGCAGTCATGTGTTTATGATCAGACACACAGCTGTTAATCGGGGCAGTTCTGTGTGATGTCACCAACTGCTGGAAATTGCAGAGGCCCTGGAGCCAGCACAAACATTTAGATGTGTTTGAACAGAAAGATGCAGATTTACCAAGTTTGTACTAAAATGACCAACAAATGACTAAGAACATTAAATAAAACTGTTAAAACATCATATACACAGTTTAATAACAATAAAGGTGGATTTGGTGTTTAGTTACACTTTAAAGAAAAACCTGTTTTATAACAGGTACTAGTCCTCCACCCCCACCCAGATACAAAAGCGAGCCTCCTCACAAAGATTGTGTGCCTTCAAAATAAAAGTTCAAAGATCATTTATAACATACTTAAGTTAAATACCAAAGAGGGATTATTAAAGCTATATTCCTCATGGGCAGGCCACCGTAAAGATAACACACAATTTGTCTGGGCATGTCACGCTGGAATAATTATGCACTCTGTCTCCTCGTGCACACACACACACACACACACACACACACACACCTGAATCTGTGCACCTTGGGACACGTGTGCAAATTGCACGCTCACTGGTTGAAAGTACCAGGTTGTCCTAAAATCATGCATAAAACATAAAAATGCACACAAATATAAAACACACTGAATTTTAAGTTAAGTTATAAGTTAATACTTATTCCTATGTGACCTTTTCTTCTCACCCGGAAGATGTTGAGACTGCGGAAGTGAAGTGCCGGTATGAGGCTGCCAGAAAAAAGGTGTACCAGCATGCAGCAAGCAATCCTGTTTTTTTTGGTCCTTATAGTGAACGTTTTGTGTTCACATGCTGAGAATGTCACATGTGAGTAATTCTGGAATTTCTGCTTTATATAGTGTTTTTATTAAGATTATCAGTTTTGATTCCACATATCTGGAACACAGCTAACGGTCTAAGGTACGAACGCATGGGTCCGTTAGCCATTTAAGCTATGCCGGCGTGTCCAAACTTTTTTCATTAAGGGCCACAGATCTAAACACAGACGAAGCACAGGGCTGATCGAGGGCTTGCAGAAGTTCATTTTTATTTGATGCAAAGTAATTTGGGCCAATTCACCTGGAAGGTCCGCATTTGGCCCCCAGGCCATAGTTTGGACATGCCTGTGCTGTGCTGTCAGCTTTAGTGCCAGGCCTAAATATAATAGAAGGCGGGGGTCCTGCTGCCATCTCCTGAATGGAGGAAGACCAAAATTTGAATAGAAAATGATTTAACTCAAAGCTGTGGTGTCACTTGGTAACTTTAAGAAAACTGTAAAGCAGATGTGTACGAACTGTGACCAGTCAGTAGCTTCTGTATAGAGACATCCAATAAAAACAGTGAGAATCTACAATATAAATAATTCTAAAAATAAATTACTCTTATCGTCACATACTCTTATCTATTAATTGTGGTAAAATTATAACTAAACAATGTATTATGTGCACTGATTTTACTTTTTGTTTTTTTCACAGACCAAGACATTTTGGGTTGCGTAGGGCAAAGTGTAACCCTATTTAAAGATATTCCCAGGCAGGAAAAAAAAACAACTATGCCAAACAGAAAAGGGTGATGATTTTGCTTGTTTGAGAAACGACAACCGACTTGAAGAGTGTAAACATCTGCAGTACTCCATTGAATTCAAGCTGAATAATAGCCGGATATCTCTGGTCCTGACAAACTTGAGCCTGAACCACAGCGGTCAGTACGTGTGTAATCTGGGATCTGAATCTGAAGATGTCTGGAGCAATCTCACAGTCCTTGGTAAGCAGTTTCTCTTCCTACATCTTTTAATCAAGATGACATGAAAACAGGATCAAGTGTCCTCAAAGTGGCATCACACTATTTCTGTTGACAAATAAAAGGTATTAAATATTTTAGGGGCATTTCAAATAAGTGTGTCTGTGCATAACAGTTGTTCCCAAAAAGTTTTAGTCATGAGTACCACCTAAGTGTCTGAGCACCCCGTACTGGTGCGCTTCAGATTATAGAATGTGATTATGTTGTTCTTCCAGATGGGGGCAAGAGACAGTTTTTCGATATTAATTACATTATACTTTGCCATAAAATATCAGAAAAGTAAATTCCCAAATATAGAATCTGATCATTTCCATTACTGACTAGACCCAAGACTTATATTACATCAAAAATCAACAGTTGAACAATGTTAATTTTAAATGCCCCCCATCTGTGTTAAATAAATTTAATATATTATTTAATACAGATAGAATGTAGTAATGTCATCTGAAACCCAGCAATTAACAGTACTTGTTTTGTTGTTGTTGTTGTTTTTTTTTGTTGTTTTTTTTATAAATCTGTTTACTAGTACATTGCCAGTTATAACTATAATTTCTTGTTTTAGCTAAATATATAACAATATTATTCAATGGAAACATTTAAAATGTATAACAAAACAATTTTACATTAAAATACCACAATTTCATTTAATGATAAAAAAAAAGTCCAAAAGAGCACTCAGTGCCATTCATTACTGCTAATTCCCCACTGCCAATGTGGCGTCCATTTTTAAAGTAATTACAGCTGCAAAGTTTTAGTCCTATTGCTAAATTAACCCTCTGTTCACACCTATTTGTGTTTTTGATCTGCTGTAGAGTGGGACAGGGCTGGTCTGACAGGTTTTGGGGCAAAGAATTTGGTTGTTTAGTGCAGTTCTCTGTGCATGTAGGTGTAGCAAGTGAGAACAGAACTAAGCAAATGAATTTAAGAGCACACAGTATGAGAGTTTATCGGAAAACATGCTTTTTCAAAGTCAGCCACTTTGGAGCACGGGACACTCCTTTATATCACTTGTCTCTCAAATGGTCTCCTCTTCAAAATACAGAATGACATTTTTTTGTTTTTAGTTTAGTTTTTTTTTTACTCGTAAACTGCCATGTTTGTTTTGACAGAACTAGAGCAGGCTTTTCTCTGATTGGTTAAATTGCTTAGCAATCACATCCTCTGGAATACCTCTTTTACAGGACATAATGTTTGTGTTTTTGAAAATCAGACCAGACATTTACACAAACATCACACTGTATGTGGGCTGGAGTTATTTTTTCTCCATATTAAACTTTCTTCCTGTTGAAAATTCTTTGCTGTTAGATTTTGGGTGCTCATGTTACTCAGATTTTAGAGATATGGTGCAGACTACAGCTACAGAAGCAGCAACAGGAGATTCATTCTTTATGGAGCCCGAGTATGAGTGAATGGGACATGAGACAGTATTTAGAGTTTTGTGATCATTTAATTTGAATTTATTTGAATTTATTGGTTTGGAGGACAAGACCCTTCAGATGTCTCGCCATCTCGTTTTTGAGGGGGTCCTCATAAATACAATGACAAAAGACAGATACAGTAGGACAGACAGTAGGATACATGAATTCAAATAAGCATCAAAACAACAAAATCAACACAACCACAAACACACACACACAGTCACACACACTCACTCACACTTGACTGTTCGACACATAATAAAACAAATTTGAAAAATAAATAAATAAATAAACAATATAAACAAATAATACAAATTATTATTATTATTATTATTATTATTATTATTATTAATAATAATAATAATAAAAACAAAGATAATCAGGAAATACAACAAAATGATTAAAAACAATGACATGGGTTCTGTAAATACTGAACCGGAGCATTTTTAAATGAAGGGACAGAAGTTAAAGCACGACTCGATGAGGGAAGATTGTTCCAGTCAGAAGGAGCTTTATATTTAAATGAGTGTTTTCCTATTTGTTTTTTGACTCTTGGGACAACAAAAAATATCTGATCTGCGTAACGTAAACTGTAAGAGGATCTGAATGGAATTAAATACTGTTCGAGATAATCAGGAAAACTGAGATTAATGCATTTAAAGATAAATAATAAGCAGTGAAGTTGACGTCGTGAGTTTAAGCAAAACACAATAATAAAACAAGAACAAAATAGAAAATAAAAACCAGTCCAGTGGTTGCATTTTATGGGCATAGTCTGACACATGATGATTCAATAATTCAGATAATAGTTTAATGCAAGATGCTGTAATCCAGGTTCAAATTAATGTATTAACTCACCATCAGTATGTCTTAGTTGAGTTGAGGAACACAGTGATATTGAATTGAAGATGAATCAGTCCATAACAAAAACCTGACCTTTGAATTCCAGGTCTCCCCATGTACGGTGTTAAAACGTGTATGGAGGCGCTAAATAAGAAGGCTGTAAGATGCAAAGTTTTTAAAGTTTGGAGGAATTGTTTGCCGACACCAGACCATGCCACAGCCACAGAGGAGCAGAGGAGGAGGAGTGTTAGTGTGACTCCACAACTTTAAGGGAGTGGGGGAAATCGTGGTAGAGCGGAACTGACCTGCTACAATAAAAGTGGCTCAGATGCGGGTTACACTCACAAATGTTCAAATTTAACTGTCGTGTTTAAGATACTATATAGAAGGAGATAGTTTGCCTCACCCATGTCAAGTGTTCAGAGAAAGAGCCTGAGAACTGTGTGAACTGATGAGAAATATGTCATGACATCTGCTTTCCTTTGTTTCCTGTACAGAGTGCCGACCTGGAGGTGAAGGTGGAGAAGTTGGAAAAATAGTTGGAATAGTGGTAGGGGTAGTACTCTTTGCATGTGGATTTTTTATAGTTGCAGGACTGGTTTATTGGAAATCTGATAAAATCAAGTCGATGTTTACTGCTTGTGGGGAGCACAATGGATCCAGTGACCAACCGGGAACCTCCAGTAGCATTGAGAGTGTGACGGTGCCACGATCCGCCTGCAGTGATCGCTGGAGTTGGGTCAAGTGGACGTCAGAGATTGAACAACAACAACAACAACAACAACAACAACAACAACGATGATGATGATGATGATGATGATAATAATAATAATGATAATAATAATGATAATAATAATAATAATGATAATTATTATAATTAATATTAATAATAATATTAAATATGTATTTTGTATTAAATATTCATTTAAAGAATAAATCTTGCCTCTGTCTATATTTAATAACAAACTTGTGTGCCTCAGTTAAGTTCCTGAGCCTCCATCTCTGGTGGTGTTGTTTGGCAATTATGTTCAGTTACAGCTGAGAACAAAATTGTCACGTGTATGTTTACAATGTATTTTCTGAAAGAGTAGAGGATCAGTCTGAAATGTGTGCAGTATCACATATTTACATATTTGTAAAAGTTACACCTTGAGGAGAAGATGATGTCCAAAATTCTCCCAAATATAACAGTGGTAGTGTTTTGTATTTTGAATTTAACCCAGGATTATGAGTTGTGGTGCACATAACTTTAAAGGTTTCAGTGATAAAATCCAGGGATGCTTCTCATGATCCTTCTGTCATCACTGGAGCTCTTAGCCAGGAGGCTGTGTCATCAGATGATTACCAACACTCATTAAGTGTTTCGATCCTTAACCATAACAGTCTTCTGTGGCGGGTCACAGTGGCCAGTCACTCCACACTTCCTCCTGGAGGCCAGCTCATCTCCTCCCTCCTATTCCAAATCCAACTGGAGTCTCTCTCTGCTGCTTCTCCGAGTCTTTACACAGCCTTTTTCCTTTCTCCTCCTCTTAGTCCATCAGCAGTTTCCAAAGTGATTGACCTGGAAATCCCTTGCATCCCACCTCAGTAGGATACAGCCACGTGTGCCACCCTTTATCTCTGCAATCCTGCACAAGCTCCCTATAGTGTTCAGATTTCCTTTTAAATGTCTCTTCACACCCCTCCTCCCATGGCACAGGAAGCTCCACAAAGATGATCTGCTTTATTATAGCAGAGAAAAGGACTGCATCTGGTCTAAAGGTGATGTGGACAATGTTAGGAAACTGAAGACTTTTCTTTAGGTCCACCCTGAACTCCAACGCCTGGGAAGACTTCACAAACCTTGTGCTGGATTCACTGGGCCCTGATATTCCTGCTTCCTCCTACGTGAGCCACTGTTACATTCTGCCCACAGAGCTTACATAGTTCATCATCTCTAAGTCCCCATCTGTGGAGGTTGACAGGAGAAGGAAAAGTGTGATAAGTACAACCTGGGGACGTGTGGTAATTTGTAAATTACTGCCCCACGTCTGTGTTACTTGCAGCACATTCGCACCGGATAAGTGAAGTCCGTAAATTACATTATTTTACTGATATTGCGACCGGATATGTCGTAACATCAGCTAGGAGGTCAGTCAGTATAAAGGCGAATGGAACAAGACTACACCAGTACTAGACCAGGACTAGACCAGGACTAGACCAGGACTGGATCAGGACTGGACCAGGACTAATCCAGGACTGGTATAGAACTGAATCGAGACTAAACCAGGACTTAACCAGGACTAAACCAGTGTCGATCTTGCGGCCGAGTTGCCTGGATCGCTCCCCTCCCCCGGTTCTCAGTGTGGATCTAGCAGGCACTAGATCACCCCGACCCCCGATATAGAGGATATAGTCTAGTTAGTATATTACTTAAAATGTTCCTTATTCCTTATATATATATATATATATATATATATATATATATATATATATATAAAACCTGATGTGTCTGAGTTTGGTAAACACAAGTAAAATGAAATAATTTATTTAAATGCTTAATTTGTGTATTATATTTTAAGTAAAAACTGTAACAAATGTAAATGTAACAAAAAATATTATTTACAATGGGAGAGTTTGTCTGTGTTTACTGTTTGTTTTGTTTGTTTTTTGTTTTTTTGCCGTTGTTTTTTAATAAAATTGCACTTAGGACACAATTGTAAGTGCAGATTTTATTCATTTTGGTCCACATGTCAGACTTCTCATCTGGTGATTACCCCAAGATTTGAGTAAATTGATCAAATTTTGTTTTGTTTTGTTTGTTTGTTTGTTTGTTTGTTTGTTTTGTAAATGGTCACATTTTTATATAGCATCTCCAGAACACTCAAAGCACTTTACAGCAAGGAAGCACACACACACACACACATACACACACACCAGTGTAATAGACGAGGAAAGTGACTGAGGTTAAGTGTCTTGCCCAAGGACATCACACTGTCAACCTGTGGCTTCTGCTCAACCAGTGATGTTTATGTGGACAGCAGGATTTACACCATCACCAACTTTCGGATAAGTGGACAAACACACTTCAATAACGTAAACAGTTGTAAAATGGTCCTGCTCTTTCCGGTGATACTTGGAGCTTTTCAATTTGTGCCTTTAATTAATTTAGAGTTCATTTTATCCACTTTTTGTCCACCTTTGAATAATTTTTTTTTTTTTAGAATTACAAGTGGAAATGATGTAGTCCACTTTTAGACCTGGTTTAGACCTGGTTTGGCCCAAGATTAGACCTGGAATAGTCCTGTTTTAGGCCTGTTTAGATCGGGTGGTACTAAGAAAGCCAAATCTTTTCTTTGGTAGGAAAAGTTTGAGACATTTTGGTTCATCATATTGACCACTATTATGTTTTCGGTTGCAAAGGCAGAATATTACTGTATTTGTGCTTCCATAATTTGATGCAAGAAATCAAATATTGCATGAATGTTGTGTGCTCAAAATGTACAAAGATAAAAGACGCTATAGTGCTGCACAGAGGTGGTAGAAATTGCACTTTTCAGAATACTTTTGGTTCCTCTTCCCACTGTGAGTAAGTCTAAAGTGATAAAAGCTTTATGTGACAATATAAAATGATCTGAACATTTGTGTTTCTTGCACTTCCTCCTTCAGATATGATTTAGTTTGTCTCAGCAGATAATTTTTTTTATATTCTGTCCTTCCAATTGCATTCACTCTAAACTATAAATCAGATACGATGTCCAAACAGTTACCTTTCAAGTTAATATTACTAGAGTAGATGTTTTTCCAAATACTTTTTAACTCTTACCGTATTTTCCGGACTATAAGTCACTCCGGAGCATAAGTCACACCAGCCAAAAATGTGCAATGAAGAAGAAAAAAACATATATAAGTCACTTTAGACTATAAGTCGCAGTTTTTGGGGAAATGTATTTTATAAAATCAGAGACCAAGAACCGACATTTCATCATGAAAGTCAAGTTGTAGTAATAACAATAGAACAGAGAACAACAGACTGAACAGGCGTTAATATGTTAACGTGAGATATTAACAGTTCTTCAGATAATTATAGCATAAACAACACAACATAAACCAAACCAAATGAACCATAACATAACCAAACTCTCCATCTCCCTCCAAATCACTACATCTATTGAATTCTTCATCCTCGGTGTCACTTCTGCTTCTGGAGATAAACCGTAGATCCATGATGTAAACAGAGCGCCGCTTCCTCTGTCTGTGTCAGACTCAGCATCAGTTCCAGTTAGATCTAGAAAAGCACTCAGAGAGCGCAGACCTCCGCCAAGGACTACAGTCCCCCTCATATTAATTGTGTTTTCCATAAATATTTGTCTCGTATCTTTCATTTGAAAGAGGATCCCATTGTTCATCCCTGAGTCAAATTTCATGGGGTTTGGTCAATAATTAACCGAGATATTGAGAAAAACATTTTTGGCCCCATTTACCACAATGTTAACTAAAATTTCAAAGTGATCCAGAATCCAGGGTTTCTTCCGGATCACCCCCAAAATGAAATCAGTTCTTCCTTTTCACATTTCCAACAAATCCTGAAAATTTCATCAAAATCGGTCCATAACTTTTTGAGTGATGTTGCTAACAGACAAACAGACAAACAAACAAACAGACAAACGCCGGCAAAAACATAACCTCCTTGGCGGAGGTAATTAGGCTTTTCTGAATCCCGACAGGATTTCAGTGTCACTGAAGTCCAGGCTTTGTCCATCCATCCAGTGACTTCAGGAAAGTTTCATGGTGCATCCTCCCGTGGAGCAGTGTTCGCTTTCTGTCAGTCCCTCACAAGTTTCTCTCTCGCTCCAAACTTTCTTTCTGCTGCTCGATTACCGTTTTCAGCTGAATATTTCACTATTTGCAGCAAGACAACAGCTTTTTCTACAGGAGACATGCGCAGTAGAGAGTGAAGTGACAGTGGTACAGGAGTAATAGTTGTACTAGATACTAGGGGTGGGTATCATTATGAAGTTGCCGATACGATACATACCTCGATACATAGGCCACGATACGATACATATCTCGATACAGTGAGCTTTCGATTCAATATGATATATTTCAAATCAATTCAATACAGTTCAATAAAAATAAAGACTAAATCATGTCTGTGATAATAAAAGTCTTTGTTAAACCAATTTTTGTGCAAAGTTCATAAGAAACACAAACATTTTAATCATCAAAACTGTGAAAATGTCAAATGTGTCGCATAAAAAAAAGTTTCCTTCCTCTAAACAAGCAACAAAACTGTAGCACTGTAACAAAATAATTTAGTAAAAATATACCAAAAAGTACTCTTGGTGATATATCGATACAGCAGCCCAAGATATCGATACTGTATCATCACATTAAGCGATACGATATAGCGATATTTCAATATTTTTTCACACCCCTACTAGATACTGACACACAAGACTAGAGCCTCTCGGGGCTGTCAGTCTGAAAATTTGAATATGTAAGTCACACCATAGTATAAGTCACAGAAAACACCCAAACAATAAAAAAAAGTGTGATTTATAGTCCGAAAAAATGTGGCGCTTGAATAATTTCTTGGCCCACTACTGTTTGAGTATTATTATTTTAAGTAACATTGCTTTTACAATTTATGTACAAACCATTTTTAGTCCCAGTAAATTGTGGCTTTGATATGTAAAACTGTATTATCAGACAAAAAAAATAACATCATAATACAAGAACTATATGCTGGTTGTGTGAAATGTCTTAGTTTTACAGATTATGCATTAAACAGTGATGGTTAAAATTCTCTAGTGGATAATCTTCAAAATTAAAAACACGTAAATGAAAATCTGCTGTTTATTGCAGTGAAATGACACTTTAAGAGGAGACACTTACATGATGGAATATTTTGTGATCATGACATAGGTAGACGGATCGTGTTTTAAAATTCTCAGATGAGTAGATTCTGTTTGGGTAAAAAAAATTAACCACAAACAACATAATTAAAAGAAAAGCAAGAAAATGTGTCATATGTACTTTAACAAACTACTTCTACTTTTGTACAAGAAAAGCATAATATGTCTTCTGTAAATGTTGTTCTTGGCTTCGACCTGGAGCTTTGGGGCAATAATCAGGAGGAGTCTTGACTGGGCGGAGTCTTAGTCTTCATATTCTACAAAGAGAAGTCAACGTGAACAGTCAGTACAAAAGGAAACATTCAGAAGCAGGGCAAATGTTGTAACGTAAATGTGCAACAAGACTTCAACAGTTCACTTGTCCACAGGAGCAGAGGCACAAACATTTGCACTCGCTCAATATTGTCATTTACAGTTCAGTTTTGCAGCAGAAATAATACACGCACTTCCTAATAGTACTGTATTTTTTCGGACTATAAGTCACACTTTCTTTCATGGTTTGGGTGTTTCCTGCGACTTATACTCCGGTGTGACTTGTATATTAAGACTGACAGCCACGAGAGAGCGTTCTAGTCTTGTGTGTCAGTTTTCTGCGCATGTCTCCTGCAGAAAAAGCCACTGTCCTGCTGCAAGTAGTGAAATATGCAGCAGAAAAAGAAAATCAAGCAGCAGAAAAAAAGTTTGGAGTGAGCGAGAAACTTGTGAGGGACTGGAGGAAAGCAGGATGGAGAAAACAGCTTCACGGCAACCGGGCAGATGCACCATGAAACTTTCCTGGAAGTCGCTGGAAGGATCGACAAAGCCTGGACTTCAGTGACAAACGAAGTTACACGGAGTTGCTCAGAAGTGACACAGAGGATGAAGAATTCACTGGATACAATGGATTTAGTGATTTAGTGTGAGATGGAGAGTTTGGTAAACTTATGTTCTGTTGTTTATGTTATAATTATCTGAATAACTGTTCATATGTGACGTTAACAGACCAGACGCCTTTTCAGCCTGTTGTTCTTTAGTCTATTGTTATTATTACTATAACTTGCCTTTCACGATGAAATGTTGGTTCCTGCGACTTATAGTCCGGTGCGACTTTTATGTTTTTTTCTTCTTCATTACACATTTTTTGGCTGGAGGAACTTATAGTCCAAAAAATACTGTAAATCACATTCAGCATGGCCCCAAGTTTCATGAGTTATTTTTCAGTTTATACTCACAGTGAAGCACCCAGATGAATAACTGAAACGTCAAGTTGTATGTTACTTGAGAATGGAGGGCCTAGTCTCAATCAAAGTTTATCTTAATTAACAAAATATGTGAATTTCTGAATAGTGCCATCGTGTTGAATGTACAGTGCACAGGGAATCCATCAATACATTTATTCCTCTATATTTAGTTTTTCCCCATTTACACTGCACATCTTGGTTTGTCAAATAAAAGATACTCAGATTATAATAATCAATGTAATCCAGGGTATCCCAAGGTTTGACTAAACCAAATTTAAGACCTTTTCAAGAGCACTTAAATGAAAATTAAGACCAACATCACGCCCATTATGCAGGCGAAAAACACCAGATCCAATTCTAATAATGAACAACCAACTACAGTCCTGTATCTAGAATCTAAGAGCCTCTGTGGATTAAATCAACACTTCCCCATGATTCATCCAACGTCTTCCTCCACTCTACTGATTGTTTACTCATTGCCGCCGGTGCCAGAAACCAAAGTATTGTTTGCTCAGACTCCAAATTAAACATTCATTCACATTACCTGATTTCATGTTGCTGTTTTTTTTTTTCTCCATTTAACTTTGCACTGCAGCCTGGTTGAGTCTACAAAAAAATGGGCTAATGAAATAATTTAAGACTTTTCAAGGCCATAATTTAAGAACAAGAAATTTAAGACCTTTCTTAAGACTTTTAAGACCCCGAGGCTGCCCTGTAATCAACACCACAGCTCTAGAGCCACTTCTGTCTCACTGTGGCACTTGCTGTTCTCAGTTTTCTCCCATCAACAAGCCTGACTCAATTCCAGTTCCACAAAGTCCAGAGTAAGGAGTAAGGACTTCTAAAACACAGTGATTTCAAAGTATTTACAGGGGTTAAAATGTGCACTTCAGACATATTTGTTACCTGTGGGTTTATGGCAGTACAGAGACAGCATGAGCCCAGTGGAGATGATGTATGGGCACAGCACCAGCAGGTGGCACACCAGAGCTACCACAGGAGGGCGGGCTGGAGGAGCAGGGGGGAGCGTGGTCAATGCTGCTGGGCACGAGGTCTGGGGTTTGGTCTTGTCCTGTGCACTGCCTGGAGATGAGAGTGATTTATGGTTATTGCTAGATAATCGTCTGACACTTGAGTTAACCTTGTTCCTAACCTTAAAAATACAATATGATGCAAAAATGAGCTTTAATTCATGTTAAAATGTTGTTTCCTCCTAAAAAAACAGACCTGTAGAAGTGTTTTGTTTCAATCACACATGTTTGAGTAATTCTTTATTAATAGTGTGTCTACATCTCCAAAGTCTCCACCTTGTGATGTCATGTAGTTGTAGTTTCTAAGTTAACAGCTCTTTTTACCTTTAGTTTAGTAGAGATTGGCCATTTAAGGGCTGAAATGAAATATTCAAATGATTCCAGTGAACGTGGAAGTGAACTTCCTGTGTTACAACATGACATCACAAGGTGAAACAGAATGTTTTAAATTTGACAGAAGAACTGAGCCTAAATATGCAAGATTTGTGTGGTTAACATTTTATAGAAACAAAACACAACTTCCAGTATGTTTTTAATGAGGAAAAAACATTGTAACAGAGATCAGAAAATAAAGTAATATAGACCCTTTAAACCAATGTTTTTCAAAGACTGGGTCGTGACCCTCAGGGGGGTCGCAAGAGATTAGTATTTTTCGGTCACCTTGTCATGATGTAAGTCTGCAATATACATGGTGAAGAGAAAATATACAGTTGTATACATGGATCTGTGACGTTATCGTCATCCTGGATAAGCATTTTGTCAGAATATTCTGTCCCCAGTAGGACCAGTATTTCTGTGCTTATTATGTTTTGATGTATTTTTTTGTTTGTTTGTTTGTTTTTGGTGGTACTAGAATAAAGTATAATTGCACATCCACTACAGTAGTTGGCAGTGACGCTGTCATTGTCAGACTGTGCGCAAGGAGAATTATGGTGGTCGGAGGGACTGATGGCGCTGATTAACAGCCATGTTTCAGTCAGTCTGTCCCAGAGCAGCTGTGGATACAATAGTAGTTTACCACCACCGGGTCTGGAGTGACTGAATAATGATGTGTAAAGCGTCTTTGTGACATACTTCTGTGAAAAGCACTATATTAAAAAAAACTTACTTAAATCTTACTTACTATAGACGTTACACCCCAGTCACGCTGATAAGACGCTTGAGTTTTTTCAGTGAAAACGTGACGAGTATCGACAACAATCATCTCGCTTTGTGAATGCTACTTGAGTAAACCAGCGAGCTCTGTTAGCATCATATAAGGTGGCAAATCAAACAAATCATAGAGGAGCTGATACTGCTGCAACATTAAACATGGTTTCTGTCACGCTGGATTATGCAAGTGCCTGGAACTATAACACGGACATCACCTTTAAAGACGAGGAGGACACAGGAGCGGACCACCTCATGATGCAGGTGAGCGCAGCGTGGAATACAGACGCACACATGCTGCGTGTGTCCCGGGAGTCACTTTGTAGACACAACTAAAATGTTTTCTCTCGTATGTAGGCGACTGAAGGCGAGGGTGTGATTTGTCCACGTTTGGTAGTGGTTCTGTCGAGTGGAGGGGTGCGAAATGTTTTCTTCTTCTTAGGGAGGGCGTGACAGAAAATAGTTAAGAACCACTGCTTTATTGTATTCTGTTATATTATTTTAGTCTATTTTTGTCTATGGTCAGTTTGTTCATTTGTTTTGACTGTTGGATTCATTGCATACTGTTATTGTTTGACATTTGTTCTTCCTCTGCAGAGTCTGGTTGGAGCGTGGGTTTCGTGGAGAGTTTGGTGATAGATGTTCTCACCTGTGTGTGTGTGTGTGTGTGTGTGTGTGTGTGTGTGTGTGTGTGTGTGTGTGTGTGTAAATGTGTGTATGCGTGTGGTTTTTGCACAACCCAGCTCTCACATTTGCATGTCTAGTTTATCCTGTACCGTTGCACAGAGCTTTAATAGGTGCTCTGCTACCTGGAGTAACTGTATCCTATTGTTGTATTTATTTATTGTATATTTTTGTTGTGTGTAGGGCAGATCATCACCGCGGACATGGCAGATGATGATGACAAGTACAGACAGTGTAGTGACGCTCTAAGTTCAGGCAAATACTCTTATGCGTAAGTTTGGTTCTTGTACAAATGATGTTAAGTTGTTATTGTTTATATCATATTGTTCACCATTGTACACAGCTCACCTCTGGATTAATTATATAAAAAACGGTTTGCAAAGACTCTAGGAGCTTTACGGTGCTTTTGAGGAGCCACGATGGACGAGTGCGACTGAAATGTTTGTTACTGCACGAGTGAACACTTTGCAAGCTGCACTAAGACTTTTAATGTACAGTTTTATCTGCAGACTGAACAGATCGGACAATAAAATAATAATGTCACTCACAAATATAAAATTCAGTGCAATAAGATATTCGTCCAGTTTGTGGAGACACTGGTGTTGTTGTCTTTTAAAAACATAAATATTGATTGTTTTGTATTGTCACTGTCCTTGTCTGTTTTTAAAATAGACCATGAGTCTGGAATAAAAATGATGATGATGATGATGATGATGATGATATGTATTGTGTGTGTGTTTTTTTTGTTTGTTTGTTTGTTTTTCCATAAGGGGAAACTTGACTGCTTCAGCTCTGCTTTAAACCTGTAGGCAGAAGTCACATGTGTCAGCTGGGAGCACATCTGGTACATGTGACTCACTGCATCGTTCTACAGCATACATAGAACTTTCAACTTTTAAATTGTCTGAAAAAAGTCATCTCTAAAGCCTAATGGCTAAATACAATAAGAACAGGCTGTCAGACTGTGAGTGAGAGCAGCACATGACCTTACTTACCTATGACGGTGATATGGCTGGGCTCAGACTGCTCTCTCTCCATCTCACACCAGTACCGACCACCATCTGACATCTGCACATGCGGCAGTGTCATTCGAGCTGTAGGTGTCCTCTTCAGTAGTTGTCCGTCTTTGTAGAATAGTGCTGACATCGTGGAGGAAGTCTTGTGTTGACATAATAAAGTCATATTTTGTCCCTCTGTCACTGGGAGCACAGGGCTCTGGAGAAGAACTTGTTTATCTGTAACACAGAGCATGGAGTATGGTGTATGGTGAAAGGCTGAGGTAAGTCCTCATGATCTGTGTTTAGTCCTGACAGCACAGTGCAGGGTATGCAACAATAAAGGAACAATAGGCAATCTTCAGATAACTAGTTCTACTATTCTGGTAGTGTGCCTGTGCATCATCTCTTCACACTAATAAAGCTCCAGACTGTTCTCACCAGTGACAGTGATGTGGACAGTGTCCGAGCTCTGTCCCTCGGGGTTCTCACACCAGTACACTCCTGTGTCCACTCGGGGCCGTACGTCATAGATGGTGCAGGTAGGAGGGTTCCACGTGGCCCAGTTCTCACAGTGGGTCCGGGCTGATTTGGAAGTGTTTCTCTTCACCTTCCAGCCGTTATCTTTACAGCTGATCTCCACAGTGTCCTTTTGAAAAAACTGGGAGCGTCCTGGCCTCACAACAAGAAGATCTGCAAGTGTGAATAATGAGCTTAATTTGTCTAATAAAATAACAGGATGAATATTGGTCTCTCTGACGCAGCTGTGAGAGACAGGGCATGTGTGTATCAGTGTGAGTGTGTGTGAGTGTGTATCAGTGTGAGTGTGTGTGAGTGACTTTTTTTTTCTTATCTGACCCTACACATAAACTAAAAGTGCCACAAATTTAACACTAAGTTGAAGGTCCCTGGAACACATTTAAAAATCTATTATACCCATATATCCTATTATACCTTGGCTTCACTTTTCTGGGAATTATCTCAATTTAATAGGCCATTTACACTATATACATGTATATATATATATATATATATATATATAACTACAATATTATATCCTTTAAAATAATTATATGCACAGAATCCAGTTAAACCCACCTTGATCTGTGATGTAGAACAGCAGAGTGGTCAGTACTGCAGACAGAAACCAAAACGTCTGTGAATTTGACATTTAACACACTTGTACATGTTACAATACAAACATAAAATAGTTATTTGTTACTTGTGTTATTTTACATTTTTGCTCACAATTTTTTTTGTGTGTGTGAACCTAAATATAGAATAAATAAAATAATAATTCACAGAACTCACAGAACAGTGACACCGCTCCCATGGCCCTTCAGTTCTCAGCGTTCTATCCAACTCAGTAATGGGTCCTTGATTCAAATATGAGCATTTTATAGATACAGAAAAGCATAATAATAAAGTGAGGCGTGCAGAGGTTTGAAGGCAGCACTTCCTGTCATGCCAGGTGGAGGCTTTTGTGGTGGACTTTTTTACCAAGTGATCATTGACTCATGTCAAAACCACACCACAGCAGCATGATGCCCTCTTCCTCTTCATTTCTCTGCAGTTTCACACTCCAGACAAAGCTTTTGATAACTGTAAGGGGCCAGTTAGGGTGACCAGACGTCCCGAAATAGTTGTTGTCCCAAATCACGAATCCGGCCCTAAATGTCCAGAAAATTACACTCAGACAGAATACTGAATAGTTCTTTTCTGATGAACATGAAAAACTGTTGGTAAAGAGGTTGAGTCGACTGCATGCAGCCCTGACTGCTGCTGATAGGCTGCACACAGACTCTGACGGCTTCTAAGTGGCTGCAAGTAGCTCAGCTACAATCTATCTGTTTTGTTTATTTTTTACAGTGAGGCATGAATATGCACTGACGATAAACTAATTCATTCATTCCACATGGCTTATGTACCAGAACCCCAACACGCCGATATGCAAAAGTGTCAGTGCAGGTAACTGGAGGAGTGGGTGGAAGTACCCATGGATTGCCAAAGCCCTAAGTGATGAAATGTAAAGTATGTAGAAAAGAGTGTGGTGTTTCTCACGGAGGGGAGGCAGATGTTAGACTACATGCTTACACTGTTGGTCTGTACTGTACTGCTGGAAAGACTTGATCTTTGATTTAAAAAATGTTTGTGACCTTCACAAATTTCAGCCAATCTCATCTGGTCACCCTAGACCAGACCTGGGCATTGTGCAGCTCCTGGGCCACATACTGTGCTTTGGTCGACTCTGACCGACCCGTTTAATCTAATTTGAAATGACAAAATAAACATATTTTATCATTTTACCTGATGCAAGGACTAAAGCTGCATTTTATTTTAGAGGTGTTTTGTTCATTTCATTTTTTGTAAAACAGTCTCACTTTTTCATTGTTTAGTCAAAACATAAACTCTTACCAGTCTGACCAGCTCTTCAAAACAATGTTATTTACTGCTTTTTATAAAGAAATACAATGAATATTATGCAGAAGTTCTTCATTTTGTCCCTCCACAATATTTTCTGTTTCTCATGTGGTCCCATGGAAAAAATAACTGTCCACTCCTTCCCTAGAGCCAGTACAGAAATGTAAATATTTAAAAATATCACCCGAAAATAACTTGAGTCTCTTTCAGTCTGTCCATTCTGGCTGGAACCCACTGCAAGTCTTTTCCTTTAATAAATGAAAAGCTCTCATGTGAATATCTATGGTTGCTCGGTGACGTCCCCCACCACACCACTGTTCGCGGTGGCCTGTGTCGGCCACACCCCCCGTGCACCTCGTCTCCCTGTACGCTGCTCTGCCTGCTGTCCTCTAGCACATTGCTTCTGTCCCAGAGTAACAGTTTCTTTTGGAAAAATAAATCAGTTTAATGGCTAATTATAGCCAGTATAATTTCTTGTTTTAACAAAATATACAACAATATTATTCAATGGAAACATTCTCAGAGGTTTCAAAAGTACAACAAAGACGATTTTACATTCAAATACCATGAGTTCATTTAAAGACTAAAAACTCCAAACGTGCCATTCATTGCCACTAATTCACCACTGCCAGCATGGCGTCTCTGTCAGATTCAGTCACGTGGGTGCAGGAGCTCCATGCCTTTACTTTGTGCTCTCCCCCACCTGACCTCCCCCCCCAACATCACACACCAGGAATCACACACCGTGCTGCAACAGCATCACCACAGTCACAGTTTTTAGACACAGAGAATGGCTCAAGTGAGAATCCTCCCACATCTGTCTCCTCCTACCTCAAAGAAAAGCTCTCGATTTACTGCTCAATCTACATCCCTGCTCTCACCTATGGTCCTGGTTTAGTCCTGGTTTAGTTCAGTCCTGGTTTCTTCTGGGTTTAGTCCTGGTTTAATCCTGGGTTCGATCTCTGGTTGTACTCTCACCTCTGGTCATGAGCTTTGGGCAATGACCTGCAGTCATGTGTTTATGATCAGACACACAGCTGTTAATCGGGGCAGTTCTGTGTGATGTCACCAACTGCTGGAAATTGCAGAGGCCCTGGAGCCAGCACAAACATTTAGATGTGTTTGAACAGAAAGATGCAGATTTACCAAGTTTGCACTAAAATGACCAACAAATGACTAAGAACATTAAATAAAACTGTTAAAACATCATATACACAGTTTAATAACAATAAAGGTGGATTTGGTGTTTAGTTACACTTTAAAGAAAAACCTGTTTTATAACAGGTACTAGCCCTCCACCCCCACCCAGATACAAAAGCGAGCCTCCTCACAAAGATTGTGTGCCTTCAAAATAAAAGTTCAAAGATCATTTATAACATACTTAAGTTAAATACCAAAGAGGGATTATTAAAGCTATATTCCTCATGGGCAGGCCACCGTAAAGATAACACACAATTTGTCTGGGCATGTCACGCTGGAATAATTATGCACTCTGTCTCCTCGTGCACACACACACACACACACACACACACACACACACACACACACACACACACACACACACACACACACACATACACACACACACACACACACACACACACGCACACACACGCACACACACACACACACACACACACACACACACATACACACACACATTGTTTCAGTCTGAATCTATGCACCTTGGGACACGTGTGCAAATTGCACGCTCACTGGTTGAAAGTGCCAGGTGTCCTAAAATCATGCATAAAACATAAAAATGCACACAAATATAAAACACACTGAAATTTTAATTCATTTATAGGTTCGTATTTATTCCAACGTGACCTTTTTCGTCACTTCCGCAGTCTGTCAACATCCTTCGGGTGAGAATTGTCGGAATGAGTCTGCATGTAACAACGCGTGCAAGCATTTTGCAAGCAAACCTGGTGTTTTTGGTCCTTATAGTGAACATTTTGTGTTCACATTCTGAGGACGCATGTGAGTAATTCTGGAATTTCTGCTTTATATAGTGTTTTTATTAAGATTATCAGTTTTGATTCCACATATCTGGAACACAGCTAACGGTCTAAGGTACGAACGCATGGGTCTGTTAGCCATTTAAGCTATGCCGGCGTGTCCAAACTTTTTTTCATTAAGGGCCACAGATCTAAACACAGACGAAGCACAGGGCTGATCGAGGGCCATAGACTGGTGCTCAAAACAGTGAATAATTGAAATATGTGCAGGTTTAACACGTTAGTATGAATAAAGACTGATCCTCGAAACCACACACTAAATATTTAGTATTTGTTTCATCAAGGTAGATTTTCAAGAAACTTGCTGAAGTTCATTTTTATTTGATGCAAACTAATTTGGGCCAATTCACCTGGAAGCCTGAGGGCCAAGAAAAAATTGTCTGAGGGCTGCATTTAGCTCCCAGGCCATAGTTTGGACATGCCTGTGCTGTGCTGTCAGCTTTAGTGCCAGGCCTAAATATAATAGAAGGTGGGGGTCCTGCTGCCATCTCCTGAATGGAGGAAGACCAAAATTTGAATAGAAAATAATGATTTAACTCAAATCTATGTTGTCACTTGATAACTTTAAGAAAACTGTAAAGCAGATGTGTACGAACTGTGACCTGTCAGTAGCTTCTGTATAGAGACATCCAATAAAAACAGTGAGAATCTACAATATAAATAACTTCTAAAAATAAATTACTCTTATCGTCACATACTCTTATCTATTAATTGTGGTAAAATTATAACTAAACAATGTATTATGTGCACTGATTTTACTTTTTGTTTTTTTCACAGACCAAGACATTTTGGGTTGCGTAGGGCAAAATGTAACCCTATTTAAAGATATTCCCAGGCAGGAAAAAAAAATAACTGAATGCAAAACAGAAAAGGGTGAGGATTTTGCTTGTTTCAGAAACGGCAACCTACTTGAAGAGTGTAAACATCTGCAGTACTCCATTGAATTCAAGCTGAATAATAGCTGGATATCTCTGGTCCTGACAAACTTTGAGCCTGAACCACAGCGGTCAGTACGTGTGTTAATCTGGGATCTGAATCTGAAGATGTCTGGAGAAGAAATCTCACAGTCCTTGGTAAGCAGTTTCTCTTCCTACATCTTTTAATCAAGATGACATGAAAACAGGATCAAGTGTCCTCAAAGTGGCATCACACTATTTCTGTTGACAAATAAAAGGTATTAAATATTTTAGGGGCATTTCAAATAAGTGTGTCTGTGCATAACAGTTGTTCCCAAAAAGTTTTAGTCATGAGTACCACCTAAGTGTTTGAGCACCCCGTACTGGTGCGCTTCAGATTATAGAATGTGATTATGTTGTTCTTCCAGATGGGGGCAAGAGACAGTTTTTTTATATTAATTACATTATACTTTGCCATAAAATATCAGAAAAGTAAATTCCCAAATATAGAATCTGATCATTTCCATTACTGACTAGACCCAAGACTTATATTACATCAAAAATCAACAGTTGAACAATGTTAATTTTAAATGCCCCCCATCTGTGTTAAATAAATTTAATATATTATTTAATACAGATAGAATGTAGTAATGTCATCTGAAACCCAGCAATTAATAGTACTGGCTTTTTTTTTTTTTTTTCAAAAACAGAGTCAGTTGCAGAACCAGGCTTTTCCACCAACTCACCTGATCTCCTTAACAAAGCAGAAGAGTTCACATCTCGTCCCACTGTCCCGGGTAAGTCTGCCCTCTGACGCTGCACAGCTGCTCCAACATCTTCTACCTAACGAATGAGATGTTTTGTAAAGTCTGGGGATGTTGTTGAAATAATTATTGTGAAACATTATGATACTACTGTGTAAAATGGGCACATTTAGACACTGATATTTGTGTCTCCTACAGAACCTGATTCCTCCACCATCTCACCGGACCTCCATAACAACACACATGGACCCACATCTAAAGACAATGACACCGGTATCTATCATT